TGTTCTCTTTCTTTTTCTTTCTTTCCTTCTAAAGAGATATCTCGCACAAACACAGACACACACACGCGATATATATACATATATATATATATCCAAATGGGTAAATATATGTAGGTATACGAGTGAGCGATCGTATACAAATAGATATAAATACTCTATAGTGTAAGAAAAACAATGCCCAATGTTAAGTAACAAAGTTATTTAATATATATATATATATATATATATATATATATATATATATATATATATATATATATATATAGGCATATTTTCATTCAAGCATGTTTGCTTAAATAATTATGTCCATTTATTTTAGTTTTTATCCTTTCAAGTCAACGAATTAATTTCTTGTTGGTTGTAGCAAACTGATTAAAAATTCCAATATATATATATATATATATATATATATATATATATATATATATATATATATATAAATATATATATATATTGGAATTTTGTTAATCAGTTTGCTGATATATATATATATATATATATATATATATATATATATATATATATATATATATATATATGGAGGTTAAACATTTAAGATAGACTTTGTAAAAGGACAATATGAAAGGAAGGACTCTATAAAAAGCAAATGTAAGAGAAACCATATCGTTTAGAAAAATAATAATATATAATAATAATTATATATATATATATATATATATATATATATATAATATTCAAATTGTAATTACAAGCAAAAATATTCGAAAAATTTTTCAACGTTAAGGAAGAGAAAACTATGGAGGACGTTAAGTGATGTAAATTTTGACATGTTGTTAAACGAAAGTGAATTCATGTTGTTAATTATAATACTTTACGCCGTGAGTCAGCCATATTCCTTTGAATAATTTTTAATTGTTTATGGCCGTACGCAAATATGTCGGCCTAAAATTACCATTTCTTTTAAGAAAGTAGATATTTGAAAAAGTCCGGGACATATAATTATATTTTGTCTAATATCTATTAATATAATTTCAGAAACATTTCGCCTTAGCAAAAGTTATTTTCTCTCTTAACAAATCTAGTATTTTTCAAATCGAAATTGTTGTTGAAATTATTTTTATATCTATTTTTATATCTAACTGATGCGTTGGATAAATTGTATTATTGTTAATTGTATTTTGATTAGATTTAAGCATTTATCTACAGCAAACGTCCCTAAATTAGTCTAAATATTTGCCTTTTATATCAAAGTATTTTTTTATTGTGATGAACTCACTATGCCGAATAGAAAGTTTTAAATGTTTCGGCTAGTGTATATGGGGTGTTACCGATTTTTGATATTATGAACCTAGGAATATCTAGTTTATGAATTTACGGTAATCCGTAAAGAGTGAGAGTTTTCGGATGTTGTTCATGAAGACATTTCTTGGTCAAAGCTGACATTTCTTGGTTAAAACTAATGGAACACCATTTTAATATCTTTATTTTCAGATTTTTATTATAATGCATTTATTATAATTTTCATTATTTTAATAAATAATAATAATAAAAGTTATTTTGAATATTTTTCTGAATATACGCTCCTAACTAGGATGGAGTCGTCAGTAATGTAAATTGATTTGGTTCATCAGGGTGCTTTGGCTATTTCAACATCATACACCTCATCACCAAGCCAACCTCAATCATGAAAGATCAAGTCCTGATTCCCCTTCCTTTATCAAACGCTAGCAGAGTGTGGGGGACTTCACCACATTAATTTAACTTTAGATTAGGAAACAAAACTGACGTGAAAAAGGATAACCAAAAGACATTGTTACACATAAAATATGTATTTAACAAGATGTACAATATAAAACAACGATGTGAAGGAAAGCATGCATTTAAGTAAGAAAAGGTTGAATAAAACAAGAGTTGTCTCTCTTTTATTGTTATTTTAGTATTTCAAAGTTCATTGGAAGAATGTTATATTGACTGTTCTCAGGAGATTATGCTGAGTAAGAAAAAGAATATGTGAGTGTATGAGGAATGTTCAGCATGTGAGTGGTGGTGTGAGTGAGAAGGTTGGAAAAGTTCGTAAAAGTTCGTACGTACGTGAATGCATGAATAATTATTTAACGTCTGACCACCCATGGTCTAGACGAGAATTCTTTGGAACTACATCTTGCAGCAAGAAAAGAAAAGAGAGAAAGCAACAGGCTTGTGTAATCACATTGAGCGGAAAGAATTATTCTTCACATGCAGACAATCTGATTGGTTGGCATTGATCAATTAGAAGCTGATATGGCCTTTATATTAATTGAACAAAAGTAGACCACGTTTTTCCGCGCATTGGATTGGGTGTTCGCAACAACCAATCCGATGCAAGGACTGATTTTTTAAATGGTCCACGCATTAATGGCTCCTTGTTTTTTGTTTTTTGTTGTTTTGTTTGTTTTTTTTTTTTTTGTATATATTTTTTTCGGGTTATCGGATTGATATTTTTAAACTTAAAAAACCTAAGTTATTTGCCCCGAAGACATTTTAACTCCGGCCTAATTTTTAAAATTTTTATTTACCTTCTGTTTTCCTTGCTAACCCGTATTTATCCGCTCCGATGATTTTAGACATGTGTCATTAGACTTTTATCCACCAAACCTTTCAATTTTATTTCAAGGATCTCGACGATGTCCACGTCGAATTTCTGCCAAACGTGTTTGTTACTGACCGGGGTGTCAGGCGCCTCCTGAACCTCGGCTTGGAGGACCTGGGCGCTATGGTGGGCTTACCGGCCCGCCACCTCCCGCGTCTCACCAAGAGAAACTCCCGCGCGCTGCTTTTCATTTGATTCCACCTGACACCTCATTTAAGCCTAATGGGTTTTTAGGCCACGCATATTCTTGTACATTTTACCGCATGGGCATCGTCCGTAAATCCATATCTTGGTCCGTTTCCATTTACTTCATCCTAGTGGGGATCTCATGCACCCACAACTCGGTATCTCCTTCTCCTGGTGAGGGAGAGATTCGTATGTGTTTATGTAGCGTTTAATGGCATGTGTAAGGCAAATTGTCCACCAGTCTATTCCCGGGTTGTAATCCGATCTGTTCCCGGATGTCGCTGTTTGTGCAATAAAAAGATTATTTGGAATATACGCTCTTAACTAGAACGCCGGGAAGGGGAGTCGTCAGTGATGTCAATTGACTTGGTTCATCAGGGAGTTTCGGGTCTTTCAACATCATACACCCAATCACCAAGCCGACCCCAATCAGGGGAGATCAATTCCTGATCCCCGCCTCCGGGGTGTATGAATGACGAGGGCAAAAAGTTTGAAAAGTTGAATGGTTGAAATGTTTATTACTGTTATTATTGATGTGATTGTATAATTAATACAATACTTTTTTCCTTACTGTATACCTATTTTGGCATCCCCTGTGTGTGTATGTGTGTGTGAGTGAGAGAGAGAGAGAGGTCACGAGTGCTACTGGTACTATATAACCCATTAGTACGTAGCGAATGGGCAAGTCGATCCGCCTTTCCTCGGTCTTCTCGAATGAGGAGAGTGGCTAGATACCCAGCAATTCCAAATAAAACCTGTCAAAGAGCAGATGAGCGTTCTTGTGATTTCAACGACCATTTAGCGCAATACAGTAAACGGGGCTCATAGCTAGGGTATACAGTCAGTGCGGTAATGACGAGGCATCGCTGGGCGGATGTCAACAGCCGGGGTGGAAGGTTCTCCTATAGTATCAACGGCCACATGACCAAAGTGAGCTCTTCGGTTGGAGGACATCGGCTGTGATTTCGTCTGGAACGGGATCGATTCCGCCAACCCCTACTTACCCAATGAATATATATATATATATATATATATATATATATATATATATATATAAATGTGGCTTCAACCAAGATATGAGGAAGGAATTAATCAGGTGCTCAGCATTGACCCTACGACCAAACACAGCTATAGGATTGATCATCATGATGATGATGACCACGACGACAACGATGATGAAAGACATAAAATAAAAAATAGATATGAAATTTCATAAATTTATCTTTTACATAAAACAACTAATTCAGAAATCTGAAAAAGTTAAAAAATTAACAAAAATTTGCATCGACAGAACTTATATTATTCAACTAAATATGTTTTAAATATGTACGTATATATGTGTGTGCGTATGTATCTGAGTGTGTGTGTTTGAATAAATTACAAACATTATGTCTGTTAATTTTTATTATAATCTTTTTATAGTCATGAATATTTTCTGTATATTACAATCAAATAAGAAAGAAATGCACTGTAACAGTGAGAATCAGTTTTTTGGGACAATGCATTTCTTGCCTTATTTGATTGTAATATGCGCAAAGATATTCGTGAATATGAAAGGATTATGATAAAAATAAGCAGACATAAAGTTTGTAATTTATTCAATCAGACATGTCTAAAAGAAAATTTGCTGCCTAAATACACAAATATGTGTGTGTGTGTGTGTGTGTGTGTGTGTGTGTGTGTGTGTGTGTGTACGGTCAAATCACGCTGAAAACACCGGTTCTCGTTCGATCACCGAAGTTAAGCATCGTAGAGCCAGGTCAGTACTTAGATGGGGGACGGCTTGGGAACACCTGGTACTGTAAGCCCCCAAAGTCCAACCCTTACCTCACAGTCGGTGGGGGGTGTAAACGGTAGTGTCAGAGCTATGCCGCCCGGAACTTCGTTCCTGGTAGGGCCACCCAAAGTGGACAGGTCTGACACACACGCCGGCTAACAAGGGCTCTGGTGAAAATCCAAGGAGCGTCTGCATCGGTAACCGGCGGCTTCTGGTCGTTCCTGTCTCTGCGTCTGTGGGAACCCCGCGGCAAGCAAGAACGTTATCCGAGTAGGCCTGGGTACCCTACTTCTGTAATTTATCCCAAGAATCTTCTTCTCATAACAGGAAGAAGCCGGCTCAATCCGCCCAGGGTGAATGCCGCATCAGTACAGTACAGTAGTAGTAGTGTGTGTCCTTTCGTATTGAATTATTACTTTATACTGTGCATCAAATAAAAACTAAACTTACGGCTATATCATGTTGATGCACCGATTCTCATCAGATTGCCGAAGTTAAGCAACGTCGAGAATGCTTAGTACCTAGATGGGTAACCGCTTAAGAATATTAGGTGCTATAATTTTAGATTTGATGTGCGGATGGTGTATGTATAATGGCTCGGAATGAGAAATCGGAAGGCGGGGTTCGTTATATCGAAAAGACTCATGATCGTCTAAGGGTGTCACGTCTGCCCCTACCAACTCAATTGAGTCAGCGTGATAGGGTAATGACCCATTCATCATCATGAATTTGTGTTTAGAAGAGGGCCTGCGTCCAACAAAGGACCTTCACAGTCTGAGTAGTAGAAAAGAAAATAAGTCCTGTTAACAGTGATCTGGTTTATGTTTTCGCTGGGCAGTCTAGGAATTGAAAAATAATTTATCTCTTCCTTGAGAATTTAAGCAGACAGATATCGTTAGCAGGAGGAAGAGAGACCTGGATTATGTTTTTGCAAAAGAAAACATATGAGAAAATAATTTTGTCTCTCTCACTCGGAAATGTAAATAAAGAACGAACCCTTTCTGAGGGGCGAAGTTATAAAAACAGTTCCTGTCACTGATGAGCAGGTGATCCGGTTTATATTTTCCCTAAACAGAACATAAGTGCAGGAATTGAGAAATAATTTTATCTCTTCCTTGAAGAATCAAGAGAAGTAAGATAAATGACTAGAATAAAACTACGCCCGTTCGCCCACGCGCATTAAAAATAGATTTGTCACAAAGACAGTTATACCTGTCCTGGGAACTAGGCTGAGTTTTAATACCGAGAAGAAAGTAAGAAAGAGGGAGAATTTAGCACCAACTGTATGGTGAGATGGTACGAGATATAACGTGAGGCAAGTTGGAGTTGAGGGCAGGAGTAATCCCTGTAACTACTCCCAAGAAGGTGGATAATTCTCCAAATCTGGAAAGTTGAAAGAAAGCAGAAATAAGGAACAAAGAACTCATTGGGATTAATGTGAAAATTGAGGAATCGCCGAATCCCCAGAACCCTTCCATCCCACGCCGGTTTTGGGCCGAAGTGCATATAAGCAGATAGTTTTGAGAGCTCGAAGATTTGCCTCTAGAATCCACGTCAGCTGCCAACAGATCTCCTGTCTCTCAAGAAGTTTGAACCTAAAACTTTAGATGAAGTCTAGTTTTATTATAGAGATTGATGTGGGAAGGGCTAATTTTTGTTGTACCAAGAATTATATAATCCAATTGAAGATTAACCTAATGAATCTTTAGTTTTAATTTTTCGTTGCGAAGCTATTTCTTCTCTTAACATAACGCCAGCTATGACTCGCTTCCTTTACTACGACATTCGAACTTCTATTGCTCTGAGATAAAAAAAAAAACACAACGTGGGCAGAAATAGTATGGATCGAAACATCCAGCGGCTAACAACCAGCTTGGACCAACGTCAGTATTGACCAGCGCAGAGTTAGCCCTGTGGTTAAAACAGAGGTTGGAAATGAAATGGTAATCTTTATAACATCAACAAAATACAATACTTGCTAATGGTGGACAACTTAGACTTCATATTACCCTCACTTATAATCGTGTTCAACGTATATATGTGGAAAAAGAGCGTAAAAATCCCTTCTTGGGGGAATTTCTAACGCATGGCTTATCTCTCAGTTGCATCTTTGGGTAGAGTGTGCTTTGGGGCTTCTCTGTCAAAGGACAAAGGGGCAACCGAGAAAATTATACTGAGAGGTTCCCAGCGCTTGGGAACAGCTGCCGGAGGCCGCGCCCTCCAATTGCACAAGAGGGAAGGGTCGGTGCTCGCACTGAGGCCAGCGCAACTGGGGCTGTGGGTAATTTTTGTCCTTGTCCCGGGCGTACGCGCTCGGGTCCACACCTAAAAAAGACCTTGTGTCACATCTCGTCCAAGTGGGGCGAAGGAATTAATACCACGTATTTATGAGGATTGGGACATACTCATTAGTGTTCATAGGTACGGTTCCAACTTATTCAAGATGATCTTCGCCCTCTCTAAATTTCTAATTTTCTGTCCTGGAGTAACAAGGAGCCTCACACTTTTCACGAACCATTTCATTTTTTAAGTCTTTTTTTCATTGCTCTTTGGACCGTCATAGCTGAAACTCCTCTCTCTTGTGCCAAACGTCTTATGAATTTAGTTGGATCTTTTCTAATTGATCTCTTTTTAGATTTACTCTGCACAGAGTCAACATCTTTTCCTTTTCGGATTAATGTCGATTCTCTCTTCTTTTCCTCTTACTTTATCTTTTTTTGGATTTTTGTCTCTGCTGATCCTGTTGTTGTTTTAATATTTCCAGTAAAGCTGTTTTAAAATCCTCCATTTTGTACTGTTATATGAACTAACTTTTCACAATATATATATATATATATATATATATATATTATATAACTGTCTTTCAAAAACACTTTAAATCTTCCGACTAATTAACTTCCAATGTAACACCTTTACACCGAGAAACCTTCCCAACAATACATGATTTTTGTAAACTGAAAAATGCAATTTTCCAATTCCACATACCTTTTGTTACGTGTCCAGTTCTTTGTAGTTGGAATAATATCCTGTATTTTTCTGAATGTTTATTTCAGAACAACTTGGTTAATATCCATGTATCCTTAGAAAATCCTTGTAGCTAAAAATGATTTACAGCTTTGATAATTTCTTGATCTTCTTTGGCCAATGTGGCCTTGGTGAATTTTTATGTGAGTTTTGCCAATATCTTCGTTCGTAGAACATCGTATTCGTGAACGTTTATAAGAGTTCTGTTCTGTCGAACTCTTGTTGTAACCCAGAAAAGTTTATTGAATGAGGAATAACCAAAACGGAGGTTGGAAATGAAATAGTAATTTTTATAGCATCAAGAAAATACAATACTCGCCAGCGGTGTGAAGTAGGTAAACCACTGCTTGTTCTGGACTACTTAGACGGCATATTACCTCCACTTACAATAGTGCCCAACGTATTTATGAGGATTAGGACATACCCATTAGTGTTCATAGGCACGGTATATAACTTTCTTCCAACTTGCTGCTTTCTTGTCAACTACGATTTTCAAAAATTTAAATGATATATCAATCGTCATCCTTTGCGCTATAGTGGCGTGTGGCTTAAGAGTCAAAATGAACAATTCATTTACCCACACCAAGAAGATTAGTGGAGAATAATAATGTCGAAGAAAAGTAGTGGTAATTTTAACAAAACAAGATAAGGAATTTATTTTCCACGTTTGAAGTTGTGTGAGTAGTTCGTTTCAAGAAAATAAATCAAGAAATTTTAAAGTCCGTAGTTTTAAGGAATTGTCATGAAGAGGAATGTTCATACAACAGATTAAATGATCTCATACAAAATAATATTTAAAAATTTTAAAACAAAGGTAAGAGAGTTCGTTGTTTACGGTTGCATACATTGAAAAGTAGAGGAAGAGAGATTATTTGAAATATTTAGCTTTCTTGGATTGTTGAAAGAAAGTTCTTTGAAATATCACGTGCTTAGTCAAAAGGCTGATAATATAATTGGCGAGTAATTTTACACTGGCGAAGACGTCAACGCTGGGCGCGCTGAACAGATACGAAACCTTTCACGACTTCAGACATTATTTTCTTATTAATTTATCTTTTCTATTCATTTTATATCAAAAGAGATTTCGCATAGGCTTGCGACTTTCTTTTCTTTCTTCTCCTGCTCAACGGTTAATTTATGTGGAGACAAGGTTTTAATTGATCCATAACAATTTCACATGGTCTCCCGAATTTATTTCTGTTTTTTCCTCGGCTCACCTGAATTTGGAGGGAGAGGGTAAAGGGGGTTATTATTATTTCGTACTCACAATAATCGTAATCCTGTCATTTTATTATCGTCTCTGTTTCTCGGTAACCTCTTCTGTCTTAGTGGCTTTATTGCCTTGCAAGGAGAAATGACTTTAAAAAATAAAATGTAAATAAAAATATACCTGGTGTAACAGCCAAAATTGTCCAAATCATGTAACAGCATAAATTGATTGTCCATCCCACGAAATGTTTAATGTCTACAAAAACACTAATTTAGTTTCTTTTTTCCAGATTTTCAGATAAGACGTTTAGCCATCTTGACACCATACGTCGTAAAAGAGAACAGGTTAAAATAATTTTGTGTCAGACCCACTGTCTTCCCAAGAAATGGTGAGAGGAAGAAAATCATTCAGGCTTTTAGTAATGGTACCAACATTCATACTCTGGCTCCCATCTTCAAAGTTCATTCAAGACCCATCAAGAGAACGGTGAATAAGTTAAAAGAGGGAACAAGAGAGAGGAAAACTGGGTTATAACAGGAAGAGAGATCATCATTTCAACTTAGAACTAAAGAGGTCAATTAGAAAAGATCCAACTCAATTCATAAGACGTTTGGCACAAGAGAGAGAGTTTCAGCTATGACAGTCCAAAGAGCAGTGAAAAAAGACTTAAAAATGAAATGGTTAGTGAAAATTGTGAGGCACCTTGTTACTTCAAGACAGAAAGTTAGAAGTTTAGAGAGGGCGAAGATCACCTTGAATAAGTTGGAAAATGATTCTGGAATATATAATGAATTTTATTTCAATCCTCCATGAGCTTCCGATCCTTAGCTACAATTTATTAATAATGAACATGTAATTTTCATTTATGATCGATTTCATCACAATTCTTCTGTTAAGCTTGGAAAGTAATTATACATTCTTATTGATCAAAATAGATTCCAATAGTGTCATAAAAACCTTGGAGAATTCCAGTAATATATCTTTAATCATTTCTAAGGTACAACGGTTCACAGTTTAATCTAACAACTGGACAATTTTACTGTTACACGATTTGGACAATTTTGCTGTTACATCCACTATATTTGTAATTAAATTGTAATTTAGAATATTACGATGTCCAAAGTGTCTAATATTTTTCATTTTTGATTCTTAGTGAATATGTCGATTTTATTTACTAATGGTGAACTTATAAAAGTATAGATATGAAACAAGTTGAATGTTATAACGGCTTTTTAAAATTTTAAAAGTTGTCACTTTTTTTTTAGGATAGTATTAGGTTGAAATTTGTTTGAAATCTGACGGGCTTTTCTTATACAACATA